CGCGGAGTGTGAGGTGGGGTGGAAAAGGAAGGACAGAGTGTCCTAACCAAACCTAACCCTTAGAACGCTAAACCACGTCGCGGCAACCGAATCGATGCGTTTTCTGAGTACATATCAGATGTCCGATTACCCTACGGCGGGAGGGGCGTGAGTTCGCGACCCCAAGGGTGCGTCAAATCGCACCCAACCTAAGCTCATCCACCCATTCATCCATCCCTCCATATACCCACACCGAGGGCGAGCTTCTCGCGGAATGCTTGATTTTGTCAGCACAGCGATTGTTTAGTACCAGAAAACACAGTTTCTGTTCTCAGGATCCACGTTACCTATGAAAAAGCAGCTCGCAGCGGTTCGGTTTCCGTTCAGTTCGGTTGGATGGAGGGGTGGATGGATGGGTGGATGAGCTAGGTTGGGTGCGATTTGACGCACCCCAATGGCAGCCCGGCCAGAACACCCCAACGAGCCCCCGACCTCCTCCGGTGACAGGGTCAGGGCGACCATCGCGTCGACGTCGCGTCGATGTCGTCTAGGTTTCCTCGGCTCGGCCATAAAGACCATAGGCGCTCACCTTCACAGGCGCATGCCCCGGAGGGGAGGACGACGGTGGTGTTCAGGGAGGACTCCCTCGCGGGATAGCGGTGGGACGGCTGCTTCAGGCCGTCATCGCCGCGCCGGTGGGGCTGGGCGAGGCGTCAATAATCCAGTAAATAATCCAAAGGGCACTGAGTGTGTGGCTCGAGTCGGAGGCACCGCGTTCAGCACCGCGCGGTCGAGCTCGTGTCGTGTCGTATGGCGGCGGGAGCACGCGGAGCGGCAGAGCGGCGGGGCGCGGTGTGCTCGGCGCGAGGAGTGGCGCGCGACTGGCGAGTAGAGGGAGAGGGAGAGGGACTGGACGCGGGCGGGCCGGGGACGCTGCGCGCGGCCGGAGAACAGAACACGTCGACTAGCGAGTTCGGCCGGAAAAAACATAGAACCGATTTGTTCGCCTATAGAGGGAAAAAACAACGGGCGGAAAAATGAGAAAAAGAAAAGAAAACTCTGACGTTTTGAGTAAATTTATTCCATTTCAATGCGAAAGGACACAATTTCTTAGTGTTGAGCACTTTGGTCCGGGCCCCTATGACCCTAAAAATAGAAGCCCTAATCACCTTTCCAACACCCATTTTCCCCAAGGGGTCTGCCGGTGGTCTGCCTACCCTCCAGCATGAGGCCCGGACCAAAAAACAGGTGGGTGGGATATAAACAAGGAGGGCACAAGGTAACTTGGATTTAACAAATTGAAACAACTATGAACATTTCAAAGGCAAGTGAAGTCGAGAGATGGACCCTTACAAAATTGTTACTGTTCAGTACAGAAATATATCTCAAAGTTGATATACAAAAGATGTACAAAATTCACACTTTCAAACAACAATGAAGAATAAAATATAACGGGGGGAAATATTGAAGGCACACACATCATCAATGTCAATACTGAAAACCAAGGAGTGATGATGTACTACTTTCATTGATGATTAGAGAGGAAAATCAGTCAGTCATAGACAGATCGTATGAGAGTCACAGTCTCAAAATCACAGATAACTTAGCAGAATACAAGTTATTGGGTTTCACTGGATTAATTTCTGAGTATTTGCTTGAGAGTTCAATACCACCTAATACCTACATGTACGTAATACAACAAAACATATGGACTACAACACAAAGCTTTACAGCTCAAACAATGGCCACACAATACACATTCCAATTAAATTTTGGACAAAAACCACAAACACTACAAGCATAAGCTATGCATTTCAGATCAACAGTATGGTTACAGATTATGGCTCCAGAATTGCAAAATTAATATAAATAAAATTCGCATTTGAATGGCACTTTTATAAGAAACGTTTATGGGCACCTCTAAATGGCAAATGTCACAATCTGCAGGTTTGTATTTATAGGTAGTTGAATAGCAGATATGCACACTTCCGTTATAACATAAATGAAAAAAATCACAGATTATAAGTAACAAGTTGTGTGCTACGTCAACAGAAAAATCACACAAGGCAATTAATTGGATATAATTTACCAACTATGTATTACTGTAATGTCATGGAGCATTCAGAGAGAGATAAAGTATAAACAGAACAACAATATAGCTTAAACAAAGAAAAATGCTAAGCTAACACATCAAACAAATAACAAGAACAGTTCTAAACATGCGTACAGGCATTTAAAAATCTATCAATCACCACACGGTTACTTTGAACAGTCTTCAGATTCAACCTCCCCATTTGATACATCAGAAATGGCAACTAATGCTAGCTTTTGAGTCAGAGATTGCAACCTCAAATTTAGCTCCTGAACCTTTTCATGTTTCATTTTTTCTACCTCTTGAAGTTCTGAATCAACAAGAGCCAACCAATCAGAGGCATGCATAACAACACCATTTTCACTGAGGCCCATGTCAGCCAGGAGATCACTAGAACTAGCTTTCCTGACTAAATTACTGACTGACTTCGCGTACAAGGAACTGATAAGGAAACGAGGGTGAGGAGGCGGTCCACTTCCGCCTTCTGGGCCTGCAGTGAGAGATAATTTTTAAAAAGTCATCAATAGTTGTCTGTTACTGTGAAAATGAAAAAATGATTACTGAAGTAAGTAGGAAAAATTAAAGACCACAAACCTTGATATTTTTTGGCTCTTTCAGAATATACATGGATAGCATTTACAAACTCAGTCAGAGCAGTTTTATTGTAAAACTGCAATGAATCATCTGCACATGTATCTTTCTCCTTCATTTCAATTACTGTTTCCTATAAAAAGTAGTCAGACTGACATAAAAATGTTACACAAAATGAAAAGTACTTTATTGTGTTTATAGACCTTACCATCCATTCCCAAAACACTGACTTCTTCTTCAGCCATTTTGTATGAGCATTAATGAGCTCATTTAGTTTTGAAAGTTTTGGCATCCATTGATTTAACAAATCTGGGTCTTTGACCAACTTTGTTTCAAATACAGAGAGATGAGGAAGACCACTTGAACCGGCAGTTGCTTGATGGACCTGTCATGTGGGCATAAACCAAAAATTTCACACTCTATCAGATTAATTAACACTGCCTGGTTCAGTCTGTTTCTTTTTACCTTATGTGTATGTTTTATTCTCTCCTCTTCTAGATCCTGAATTTGGTTTATATTGTATCTTAAGCGATTTGCCAGCCATAAACAATAATTTATCTGATGTTCCGAAGAAAGAGAATGTTTTGTTTCTGTTTTCAAAAGAGGTACAGTCTTTGTTGAAGAATTTGTTACCTGTAGATGCAACAATTGATTCACATAATTAGATCAAGAGAAAGCTTAAAGACAAATAACTTGAATAAATTCAGCTTACTTGTTCCTTTGAAATATCTGAATATTCCTGGGATAATGGCGACTGCCGTACACGCTCTTGGGTAAGAACGGCAAGGGCGTTCTCTTTAGCAATAACCCACATCAGCGCTAATAGCAGCTCCCTGCTGCCACTTGAGTAGTCTGTGGGCAAGCTGTAGAACTCACAACAGTTGTAGCCCATACAAGCCAGTTGAAGTTTAACCCAAACTTGAGAATTGCCTGCATAGACAGCATAAAATTTAATTACATAAGTTAAAACTTATGATATTGGTCAAAACTTCAGACAGAAATCAACATACACTTTTCAAAATGTGGAATTTTTGGACCCAATGACAAACACATTTTTTCTAGAGTTGTCCATAACGCTTGAATCTGAAACAAATCAAGAAGTAAACTAGAAAAATTGTCACTTAGTCACTCAGAAAGAAACACACATTTTAGCGACACAAAATAAAGGAATATTGTAGCTCATGGTAACTCAAGATAGAAGATATTCATTACGAACCGTGTCCTTATCATTATTATTGAACTTAGATAATCTGAAATTATCCGGTTTCAGGTTAACGTTCAGCAATGAGTTCAAATGTTGACATAGCAACTGAATAACAGCCTTAATATCTGACATAGTAAAAACTCATGCTACTCCAGAATTCCTTAACAGCTCTTTTCTATGAAACATTGATAAGTTGAAGTACATTTAAACTATTTAAATACATTAAAAACTAACAAATACTGAAAGTAGTAGCACCTATAAATAAAAACATTTCTTTTGCTCGTTGAAATTCTCATCCAACTACATCCAACAGCCTACGACCGAAGCCAACGTTCGCCCATTAAATTTCCTTGAGAAGTAAAATAATTATATTATAGAATACATTAGTACGTGATACAACATATAAAAAATTGTTTTAAACGGCGTTTTGAATTAGGAGTGTCGTTTTTAGAGTGCTGTAATCCTTTTCAGCTAGAAATAGTTTGAGGAGATGAGATACTTTTTCGTTTTGCTCACGTAGCCTTGGAATGTTCAGTAGTTAGTCATAACACAACATTGCCGACGGTGCCTGTTTTTGTTGTAGACTGTCTTACGACGACAATTATTTCAAAACAAACAATCGCCGATAAAAAAAAAATCGTAGAAAAGTTCAGCTTTTCCATTCAGGATGTTTTCACCGCCTACAAGTCTGGCGTAACCTCTTACTAGTCTGAACGAACCTGTTGAATACACACACCCAACAAAGGTGACCAAGTTACAAGTTTCGAACTAGTTTGCCTAGGCCTAAGGATTAATCTCATCTTGTTTCCGTTATCTGTATGTTTTAGAGCGAAGGTTGGCTACTGAAGGAAACTAGAAACCATGCCAACATTTTTTTTGCTTTTCTTCATTTACTCCAATTAAAGTTTAATTAATTACTTCAATGAGCACTTTGTTGTTATTGGTTCTTTCTATCCTGTTTCATCGTTATTTGTTATTTGCACCTTTATTCATCACATACAACTTAATCTAAGTTTCGCAAGGTTTTCTGACTTACTAATCTAATTTTTTTGATTTTCATTTTTCAATTTCAGATGGAAAAAGACTCTCCAACTCCAAAACCCCGTCCAAACCCTTCGAGTCCAGCTCGAACGTCTCCTTTAAAAAAGCCAATTCCTTTGCCTCGCTTCAAAAAGCGTAGGCAAAGTGTGGAGAAGAATGATTATGAAAATGCAGACTCCCATGATGGATCTCCGAAACAGTCTGTTTCCCAAATGCTAAGAGGTGAATTTAAGTCAGCATCAGATAACGTTCAGGAGAAAAGCAAGTACGTTATGGAAAGCACACGGCGGTTAGCTCGGAACATGATGCCTAAAAGATTTACTACCCAGCAAGAATATAATGGAAAAGATAATCCGCTTATGTCAGGCTCCATGGCTGATCGTTGTACATCTCTACCCTCTGATGACATCTTCAGATCTATTTCTTTTGATTCGCCCCTTACACCATCCCATGATTTAACCGTCAACTTTGATGAAAATGACTTTAAAGATCCAACTGAAAGCCCAGTTGAATATTTTCCCCCACCGCAGTACCCACCACCTCCTTTTCCAGATGAACTTATTTATGATGAAGTATCATCTGTTAAATCAAGTCATTCTGGTAGTCAACAAGACCCTTGCCCAAGTGATGTAGATTCATACCAAGATATTGATGGCATTTATGAAGAATTGTCAAATGCCCGCAGTGAAGCTCAGAAACTAAATGAAGAGCAAGATCCTCAAGGGTCTGGGATTAATGCATTCCAATGTAGTGATACTGAATCTACCTCACTACCAGTTAACAACCTCAAGACCCAGAAAAAGTTTACGAGGTCTGATTCTTGGACATTTTATGATTCAGTGAGCTGTTCACAAGGAGAGAGTAGTTTGGGAGAGTCAGCAAGCAACATTTACAATGAAGATCCAGTTGTTCTAGCTTCTGCTACCAGGAAAAATGCTTGCAGCAAATCACCCTCCTTATGTAGTGAATTGGATGCCTTGGCCATTAACAATGACGACATTGGCTCAAATGTCAGTTGTGGTCAGTCTTCTCCTGCTGGAAGTTCTGCCACTTCACTCTCCACAGGGAGCTACCAATCTGCTGGTCATAGTTCTGACTCCACTGCAGAAGGAATACCGGTAGAGTTGAGAAGAAAGCCAAATGTCTCCGGTCAAAAATTGCCTTCAAAGTCTGTAATTTTTGAATTTGATCCTCTTTATGAAAACTTGCCAACTGTTGAAAACTTGGCCAAGAGTAATCTCACTGAAAATGATCTAATGATACTGGCTGGCCTTGCTCCTGCCAAAGAAGCAAAGACATCCAATTATGGCAAAGTAAATGTAAAGCGTAAAGATGGAGGCAATATGGTAACAGTTGAGGAGGAGAATGATAAGCTTCCTAGAGCACCAACGCCACCCCAACGCTCTGACTCTATGTCTCATGCTTCAACAGAAATATCAGATCAAAGTACTGGAGAAGAAAGAGCAATAGATGTTCCTGATGATGATATATCAGTATCTTTGTCAAGGAAATCATCTATATCTCAGGCAGATGTTGACTCAAGTTCAAGGCGTTTTTCAATGCTCCGACAACATTGGCCTAGTATGAAGCGTGTTATTAAGTCAGCCTATCATAGGGAAAGTAAAGTCTTACCCTCTGAGGTAATTGTGCTTTCTTTATATTTTGAAGTTTAGTCCCCAATGTATACAGTTTCATATCAACCTTAAATTCTTTTCTTTTCTTCATTCTTTTACAGATGGATTCCTCCTCTGAAAAATCATCATCAGCTTTCTATGCAAATATTTCAATCACCAAAAATCTTGAAAAACCATCCTTGGAGCCTATGCTTGCTGTTCAGTACAATGGAAATGTCTATAGGGGTACTAATAGCACCCGGGATTTGGCTTTACGTTGGTGTCACCTTGCCGAGAGTCAGTTGACTTTTACAGCTGATAAAAGTGGCAGTGGAAGTAAAGATGTAATTTCTTTGGATTCAGTTTTAAGCATTCAGCTATCATTGGAGCATCGAACAGGAACAGGGTAAGATTTTTGATAATTTTAAATGGTGATAGATTTCTTTATTGTTTCCTTTTTGTTTTTTATGTGCTTTAGAATGTGTTGGATTCTGTTCACATGATATTTAAAAAAATATATTTTCTGATAGGTCTGAAGGTGAAGAAGTATACTGCTTTGAACTGAGTGTAGCAGGTAAAAACCGCAATACTTTTTTTGGAGTGACATCTTCTATGGAAAGAAGAGTTTGGATGCAGAAAATTCTGGAAAACTTCACTACAGCTTTTCCAACTCGTATTGCTGCTGACTATTCTCGATTTGGGTGGTGCTTTTTCAAGGTTTGTTACCTTACACTTTGGTAAAATCTTAACATGATTTGTATTTAATACCTAGAACATAATCAATATATGTCATTTACTAACAGGAAGGTATTGGAGGATCCTGGATGCCAGCCTGGTTATTACTACAGAAGAGAACTTTGATGTATTGCGTCCCTAAGGGTAAACTTAATGAAGCTGATCTTCGCAAAGCACGATCTATAGTTATCCAGGAACCTGATTCAGTTTCCCCAGTCATTCTTATTGACTTCCCAAAACTTTCATTGTATTTACGCACTGAAAGGACAAGTGAAACTGTTGCTTGGCGTAATGCAATCCGTGCAGCCGCAACCGATAATGGCCCAGACCTGGATAATCAGCAGCTCACTCAAGAAAATGTACCTGTTCTGGTTGACAAGTGCATCAATTTTGTATACGCACATGGTTAGATACCTAATATTCTTTACTTATCAATCAAACAGACTTATTTTTCATATTTTTTGTGTATTCCTCTTTTTCTTTGGTATTTAGGATTTGTTTTCATTTTACAGGATCTCTCGCTGAAGGTATTTATCGCCGTAGTGGGGCAAACTCAAGTGTAACAAAGCTGCTTACAATGTTCCGGAAAGATGCATGGGCTGTTCAGTTATCACGTCAAGAATTCAGTGAATATGATGTTGCCAGCGTACTTAAGAGATTCTTCCGAGACTTGCCAGAACCTTTGTTAACTTCAAAGCTTCATTCTAAGCTGTGTGAAATTTCATGTAAGTTTACCTTCATTATCAGCACTTGTACACTTTAAATCTGTTATCACCAATACATTGGTATATAATGTGTGCTCTTATTACAGCTGTGCAAGATGAAGGCAAAAGACTGGAAAAATATCATTTATTACTCACTGAGCTCCCTCCAGTGAATACAGTCACTCTGCGCCGCTTACTTGCTCACTTACACTTTATTCATGAAGAGAGTGAGCACAATCTCATGCCTGTAGAAAACCTGGCTGCCATTTGGGGTCCTACTCTCATGCATGTAGAAGTAAGTATATCTTACCAATGAAATATTATTTTTAATGCTACATGATTTGTGGTAGGTTTTTAATTAACTAATCCAATTTGAACTAGTAAGTACTAAGAAATAAAAAACACTTCCTCATTTTAGAATGGTGATGAAATAACATGGTCCAGACAAGAGTCAAAGGTCATAGTTGATTTGGTTTCCCTGTTCCCTCGTCTATATGGTGTTGATGCTGAGGAATTGTCAAGGGACAAGAGAATCCGTGAAGTTCTTCAGCGTTTGCATGCTGGCAAAGTTCATCCTCAGCAAGCAAAACCTACTGGAGACCTGAGAGTGTGGATACACATTGGCTCGAAAGACAGTGGAAAAGTCGTCCATGTCACAGTAAGTGCTTCTCTATCTCCAATCTCAGGTTTTCATATTCATATGAATGATTGTTATACATCTTCATCTATATTTTCTTTGAAGGTTGGACCTCAGAAGACATGTCATGAAGTTTGTTCTGAACTTGCTTCACATCTTGCCCTACATGCTCATCAAACTACTTTATGTGAAGTTGTACTTAATGGTGCTCTCAAACGTTATCTACACCACTCAGAAAAGGTTCTTGACTCAGTATTAAGATGGGGATATTGGGATGAACCTGATAGAGCCCAGAACTACCTTGTTCTGATGGCTAATACAATCTTCCAAGAACTTAGCTCAGTGGTAAGATCAAAAAAATTTAAGTGTAGATAGATATTAATTCAAATTAAAATGCCTGTAACTGTGATTTTGATACTTTCCTTGTTCATTTGAAAGTGTTCCATTTTTAGTGGATGTGCTGCTGAGATTGTGCTACTTAATTTGATCATCTTCCTTTTTTATGTAGATTACTCCACCTATTACAATGTCAGGGGAGCTTCGCTTTGCCGACCAGAAGTCAAAGTCATTCAAAGCCTATCCATTTGAGTTTAGCCAAGCCAAACTCTGTTATTACAAAGACAAACGAGTGAGTTTAAATTTCACCTTATTATCAGATGTTGTGTAAATTATTATGTTTTTGCTCAATACTTATACGTGTATTTACAACATTTTCAATTTCTAGGGTGCAAATAAACTTGCGGAGTGGCCTGTTGAAGAAATTGTCTGGTATGAAGGTTTCGAGTCCAAAAGGAATCCTAATTCAAGGTGTGTGAAAACTTAGGTAAATCTAAACTATTAAGGTTTTTACTTCTTTCTACCAATAAAATCTTCCGTTGCAGGTGGGCTATAACATTTATAAGCAAGAGTGACAAACCGAAAAGAAGTAAGGAAAGTCCTTACTTTGGCTCTACTTTAGCTGGTACTTCTAAAGAGGATCAAAACAAGTGGATGGCAGCCTTACTTGCCGCTGAATATCCTCAGGGATTGCTCCCTCCCCCTATCCAGGTTAATCTTCTAGAGTAAGATGTGGGATCTTCCTTATATAATATAGAGTTACCATTTCTTATGTTCATTGTGTACCGTTTTACCTGCCGTCCTATGATTGACGCCTTATTTTATCAATATTGTGATTTTTTGGTTGCCATTTTAGTGAGTCTGGTGTTTTTGTGATCCCTCTCAATGAATATGAGTAAAGGTTTATTGTTCCCCCTTGTAGGTGATAAGCTCCTGCAGTTCCTAAGCAAATATCTGGAAGACATTGATGTCCTCCTAATTTGTTTAACTATGCTAGATTTTAAAATGAACTAAAGGATAGGAAGTTTACGTTTAGCAGTCAGTATTAATTATATTTTAGGTAATTTGAATTCTTCAAAAACTGTCTGATATTAATTTACACTATTGAGTATTCTCTTTTGACTCACCGTTTTATGTTCTTGACTTTCTCATGACCTGTTATTCTTTAAATTGTCATTCTTACAAAGTTCCAAATGGAGATTTTGATCATCATGAAATTATCATTTTATCCTATATTTACTTATTGTTTGTACTTATTTAGTATTCAGTACACATTCCTTAAAGTGTTCATTTGCCAATGTATCTTACTTGTGAAACAGCAAGCAGCAAGTATGAATGTATTTTAATTCACATTCCTTCATCTTGTGTTAGTGAATTTTGTTTCATCTTTTCTTTTTACATTGAGGTATCATGAGTGCATGAGCTTTACCTCACTTTTTTTTTATCACTGTCATTAATTTTCGTTTTTGTCTTTATGTTATGCTTACAGACATTCAAATGTTAGTAAATTTTAAATTTTTATTGTTTTTTGTTGGGTTTGTTTGTATACTATTTTTGTGCATTGTTTTTAGATTAGTTTGGTGCCCTGAAGAAATTTCTCTGGTCATAGCTTTTATTTAGCACAATTACTCAGATTTTCGTTCAGATGTTCAATCTCTTGGGCATTATCATCTACTATCATAATGCTCAATCCCTCAGATCTTATTCAATTGACTATATAATCTATGATTATTTTCTTTATCAATTATTGTGATGAAGACAGTCACCTCTGAGAGCAAAGTGTTACCATGGCAAGTGTTTTTCAAGAAAATAGGGATAATTCCCTAAGATCTCTTGAACTGTTACCGTATTGTTATCTCAGTTTTACCCTATTTGATATTGAATTTATTTTTGCTTTGTTAATAGCATGCATTTCCTTGCCATACCATATACTATTCTGCAAGGCTTGCCAATACATTTATGAAATTCTACCCTTTATCAATCATTTAATTATTAGTGTTGTAAATTCACTATCAAATGCTGCAACACAAGCAACCATTTCGTACCACTGTTCTTCCCCTGTGCACAAAATTAATTGCACTATGTCATGATACTTCCTATGTTATTTTAATAGCACTTAACTAGTATTCCCCCATCATGTTGTCTCTGCATCATGTAATGGTGCTGAGGTTGTGGAAAATGTTTGTCATAATGTTTTTATTATCTGAAATTATTATTTTACTCTGGAATGTTACTGTTTTACATATTTTATATACATAT